CAACCTGTAGAATTTGTCAAGTATCCTTTTATTAACAATTTAAATATAGTTAAAAAGTATAACCATAAAATTTTCTTTATAAAAGATTTGATTGTAGAGCTAGTACTTCTGATTATCAAAAAAATATTGTGAAACATAATTTTTTAACACAAAATAAAAGGTACAATAAATTTAAATGTGTGACTTATCGGACAATACATATGTCATTATTATACTTAATGTGTATACTTAGTGGACATATGAGCATACTTAGTGGACATACTTAGTTTAGCATACTTAGCGGACAATAGATATGTCATTATTATACTTAATGGACATATGTTAATATTATACTTAATGGACAATAAATATTACATTATTAATAGACAGTAGATATTTAATTATTAACAGGCAATAGATATGAAATTTAACAGTGTAATATATGTTATGAATAATGATTATTAAATGTTTTGAATAATCGGAAAACAGTTGACCTGATATATCAGAACTGATTTTTGATTTTACACGTTGCTGTAAGACTACACACACACACATAAAACAAAGAAAAAATTTAAAATAAGTATTTAATGAAGATATTAAAATAAAAAAGAAATCATATTATAATAGTAACTTGGTATTAATAGCGTAATAGCGTAATATTAATAATGTAATATGTTTATAGTATAAAAAAAGTACATAACATACAAAAATATTATACATACATAGCATAGAATAGTTAGAAATAACAAAAACAATAATATTATTATTAAATAAATGTATTATACAAGTATAATTAATTTGTCAACAGAAAGATATTTAAATTACTTAGTAGATTTTAAATAAATATAATTACGAGTAAAAAAGGTAATTAAAAATAAAATGTTAAAAGACGAATATAAAAAAACTAAACTATAGAGTAATATCAAATGGCTACACACTTAAGCATCAATAAATAAGCAAAACAGACTAACAAAAAACTTCCTCTTTCAAAATTACAATTGTTATTTTTTTCTTTTCTTATGTGTAATTTTTTTCTCTTTAAATTATTATTATTATTATTTTTTTTAAGGGTTATGTGAAAACTCATACAAACTCAACTAAAGTTCTAAATTTAATTTGAAAAAATTTAATTTAACTATTATCTCATAAGATATATGTTGACTTGTACTCTTGTTTTAAAAATGCTGAGTTAAACTAAGGCTGCATATTTGACTTATCTCTAATATATAATATTACTTAAAAACAAAAATTGAAAATATTTGTGGTGTTATTAAAGGCAAAATATTTGCTGACCATCAATGTGCTTTTACCCTATTTTTGCACAAGTGTTATATTTTAACATCCTGTAAATTTACATTTGATATAAAATTAAGTCAGAAAAATTGTTTAGCAAAAAGGTGAATGTTTTAATCATTGATAGTTGTAAGAAGTTATCAATTATTTTTTAACATTTGTTATCAATCTTTATTTTATCTAAATTATTTTATTTAAAGTAAAAGCTCAAATGATACATGAAACAATCTTTTGTTGATTTTAAACTTGAATAGCCATATTTTTTTTTGTTAAATGGGTTCTAAAATTTTATAATAAACTTCGAATCATTCCTAGACTGATACTCAAGGTTTTTTTACATATAAAAAACATTTTTTCATGACAGCATGGTTTTATTATGAATATATTAAATATATTTCGTTTATTTTTTTACTATAATGTTTCGCTGTTTGTTGTGGATTACTTTATTTTAAATTTTTTTGACTTTATAACCAGCTGGAACCGTCATGTTTTTAACTTAGATTTACTGATCATGGTAGAAGTGAGTTTGCATTCAAGGTTAGCTGCCTTATGGTAGAAGCAAGCATTTAAGGTTAGCTGCCTGTTTTAATTGATAAAAAAAGTGGCTTATTGTTAAGGGTAGAGTGTATGGTGGTGTAATCAGCAAATAGAATTATCTCAGAGGGAAGATAGAAAATCATTAGTATATATGAAAACAATATAGGAACTTTGATGGAACCTTGTGGTACCCCATTTTCTGAAAATGATGGAGAGTGTTGAACATCAAGTACAACTTTGATACTACATTTAGAAAGAAATGGTTTAATAATTTTAAAACTTTATTAAATACAATAATATAACAGTAAGAATAATAATAAATAATAATAATTAAAAGCTTTGCTGTAGAGATTTAACTCCATGTTAAATTTATAACAGCCTTTTATAATAATTTAATAATTACTAGTATAGATAATAAATAGTATGGCGTATTTAGGAAAGTTTTTAAAATTATTAAATCATTCCTTTAATTCATGTTCATGTTTGACATTCCTTTAATTCATGTAATCTCTAGAGGCTTTACAAACTTTTTCCAGGAAGAAAGAATTTTTCAGGAAGAAAGAATTTTCCAGGAAGAAAGAATTTTCCAGGAAGAAAGATTTAGTTAAGCACTCATCAAATAATTTAGAATTTTCCAGGAAGAAAGATTTAGTTAAGCATTCATTAAACAATTTAGAATTTTCCAGGAAGAAAGATTTAGTTAAGCACTCATTAAACAATTTAGAATTTTCCAGGAAGAAAGATTTAGTTAAGCACTCATTAAACAATTTAGAGTGTTTTAAAGTAAGATCTGGAGAGCACTTTTGTGTTGTCATGTCACAAGACTGTGACATGAATGTTGTCTAGACCAGGGATGGCCAAATGGCGGCTCGCGAGCCGCATGCGGCTCTTGGAATGTTAAGGTGGCTCGCGAGCCGCATACGGCTTTTTTCCAAATTGTTATATGCTAATATATTTCCATATAATTATTTCCATCATTCTTATTGTCTTAAAACTTGCAAAAATGGATAAAGTAAAAGTTAACACTAGTTTGCTTCGCAAAATAAGGCGGAAAAGAAAAATTAAATACGAAAACAGAATATTTCATAATGATTGGACAGAAAAATATGCATTTATTGAAAGAAACAATAAACCTATGTGTTTAATTTGCAATATAGAACTTGCTCATAACAAGACATGCAATGTTAAACGTCATTATGAAACAAAACATAAACAATTTTCTGAAGAATATCCGTTATGTTCAAATTACAGAAAGAATAAAATTGAATTGCTCAAAACGAAAAATAAAAATCAACAACTAAATATTTCATCTTACAGCCAAGAATCAATTAATACAACAGAAGCAAGTTTTGTTATAGCATGGAATATTGCCAGAGGTAAACATCCTTATACCGATGGAGAATTTGTAAAGCAAAACATTTCAGATGTCCTGTCGGTTTTAGATCCTAGTAATAGCAAAATCCAAAGATTAGTATCACAAATTCCTATTTCTCGACATACAACCGAAAGAAGAATATCTGAGATTAGTATTGATGTTGAACAGCAATTACTAAACGATTTAAAAAACTGTGAAGCATTTAGTTTAGCTGTAGATGAATCAGCAGATATTCAAGACAAGCCTCAAATGGCTGTATTCGTTAGATATGTGACTTCAGACGTAATTGTAAAAGAAGAGTTACTAGATTTAGTTGAGTTGAAAGACACAACTCGTGGAGTTGATATCAAGGAAGCCCTTGACAAAGCTCTGCTTAAAGCTAATGTACCTATCAACAAGCTTGTTAGTGTTGCTACAGATGGTGCATCAGCAATGGCTGGAAAACATTTAGGACTTATAGGCTTATTAAAAAGTGACCCTAAGTATCCAGAATTTATCCCAATTCATTGTGTTGTTCATCGAGAACATTTAGCTGCAAAACATTTTAACTTTCCAATTGTTTTTAAATCTGTTTTAAAGATTGTAAATTATATTCGAGCAAATGCAAAAAATCACAGACAGTTTAGAAACTTTATAAATGAATTGGATCTTGCTGACGAGCCAAGTGACGTGTCATTTTTCTGTTCTGTAAGATGGCTTTCAAGTAGTGACGTTTTTTATAGATTTGTAGAACTATTAGAGCCAATTAAATGTTTTTTGATTGAAAAAGAAAAGACATTTGAAATCCTAGACGATATAAATTTTGTGCAAGATCTTTTATTTTTGACTGATATAATGCAACATTTAAAAAGTCTGAATTTGTTTCATCAGGGAAAAGAAAAAAATATATCTGATCTTGCACAAACGATATTTAGTTTTCAAAAAAAAATTATTCTTTTTCAGAAAGATCTTAGCTTGAAAAAATTTAATCATTTTCCTCAAATGAAGAAGATGATTACTTCTAATCCTTCAATTCAGTATGATGACGATAAGATTGAATCATACTTGGACAAACTAAAGGATTTACAAAAAGACTTTCAAAAAAGGTTTAAAGATTTGCATGAACTAAAATCTTCTTTAGGATTTATAGTAAATCCTTTTTTAATTAATATTTATAGTAATGGCTGTCCAATTCCTGAAAAAATGCTTGAAGATATATCTCAATTTGAAATGGAACTACTAGATCTCCAAGAAGATCAAAATCTACTTATGCTGCATAAAACAATAACTTTTATGGAATTTTGGAAGATAGTTCCCGAGGTTAAGTATCCTCAACTTAAAAAGATTGCCATAAAATTCATTTCAATTTTTGGTTCAACGTATACATGTGAATCTTTATTCTCTACTATGAAATTTGTCAAATCAAAGTATCGTGCAAATCTAACCAACGAGCATTTGTCTGAATTACTTAGAACAGCCACTACAAGTTTGAAACCAGATTTTAAGAAACTTACCAGTAAAGTTATGAGTATTAGTTTGATCAAAGTAAAAAATTGATAAAATGATGAAAAAGTTATTTCTTGATTGTAAAAATCAAGTAAAATAATCTAATTTTAGTGTTGGTTTTTTAATTATTATTTTATTGATATAAGCATTGTTATAATTTTGTTAATCAAAAAAAAGTTTATGATCAGCATGCGCTTGTGCAAAAATCTATCATAAAAAAGATCAGTGTGTTGCACAGCACATGGCCAGTGTGTTGCACAGCACCTAATCGTGTGCTGTGCAAAATCAGTGTGATCATGTGATTGTCGAAAACTATAGAAATGATTTTTTAGTCTGAAGGGAATTTTATAAAATAAATCAGATATAATGGCATTGTAAACAAAATCTTTAAAGGAATAGTTTTTTCTTTAAAAAATTTATTGAGTGTTTTAAAACAATTAACTAAATTCAATTGTATACATATTTTACTTAAATCTTTAAAAAATGATATTTTGTATCCAAGAAATATCTAAATTTCATATTAAAATGATATTGTTGAATAGTGATACAACAATTATTTCTACCCCTTAGGAGCATATGGAATTTCCTAAATAATTTGTATTTTCTAAAAATATTTCTTTAAAAAATGATTTTAAATAGTGAATTACAAATTGTTGTTTTTATATGAAACCAAGAAAATGGGCTAGTACTAGAAATTTCTTATTTTTTGGGTAGTTTTTTTACTTATCTAGTACGAAAGTCTCTTAAAATTCAGATAATCAAAAGAAAGAGAATAAAAGTTTCTTATATAAAAAAACAAACATGAAGTTGTTGCGGCTCTTCGGCTCACGTAAGTATATAAATGCGGCTCTTGTGACAAAACGTTTGGCCAGCGCTGGTCTAGACCACAAGCTGTAGGAGATGATCAGTTATGAGAGATGAAATTTCCTTGTTAATAACACTATTAAAGTCTTTCAAAAAGTCTTTAGAGCTTAACTTATGGAAAATTAAATGGGGTGTTTAGTAATAAAGACCTTAATGTATGCTTTTGACGCTAAGATAAAGCAATTAACTTTTTAATTACCTTTTAAACAAACAATAAAAAACCAAACAAATTACTTTTTACAAATTACTACAAAACAAACAAATTACCTTTAGTAAAATTAATAGTAAAATTTGTTTATAAATTAATATGTTAAATAAAATATCTGTTTTTATTAAAGTAGGAGGAGCTTAAAATTAAACTGTAACATATTCATATTTATCTGGATATATAATAATTCATATTCAGTACACCTCTAGTTTTTTAACATATCGTTATATGAAATCATTTTATATATCATAGTATTAATGTAAAGAAATCTAAGTAAGTTCTCAAACAGCACTAGATTTTAAATGGTTGAGCTTCTGGACTACCTTTTCTGAAATTGAAATCTTCATTTTTAAATTTGTCTTTAAAATTTTGAGTGTTCAGCATTAGTACTATACCTGTACTGTAATAGAAAAGCATGAAATGATTTTTATATTAAAAGAATTTTAATATAAAAATAGTATATATTTTATTGTTAATTATGAAAATTAGAAATAAAAAAATAACTTAAACAAACCTTTATAATTGTGGTTATAGTAATGGTAAATATTAATCATTGTACAATCTAATATGTTAAATTTTATACTTGAATATATTCATATGACATAAATATAAAATTTCAAAGCAAAGCTCTTGTAACTGTTTTCTGTGCAAAATCTTCTATATATTCTTTAAATAGTTTTTACAAAATACTAATAATGATTTTCTTAATCTTTTAGCTGTTTTTAATCTTTTTTTCTGGCATTTAGTTTTTATGATCTTTTCAGCAGTGTGATTGGTTATAAATTTAATATGATAAAATTTTCAAACTATTGGACTTTGTTTTCAGTTATTATATGCTCAAAATTTTTTTAGTGTTTTTAACTAATAAATTGATATGTTAATTCTTTAAAATTGTTTGTAATACAATTGAGGATGTCTCAAAATAAGTTTTTTAAGTTAGTTCCTAAATGCAAAATATAAGTTTAAAATAATATTGGTAAAAGATTAATGTAGAAGTTCTCTTATTAAAGCGTTAGGTAGGGGAAGGGGGGTTGGTACATTTTCATTTTGGTGGCAGAAGTGTCTTTTTTTTTTTGAAAATAGCATTTTTATTTATGTCAATTTATTTTGAATTAAACAATTTGTAATTTTATTTTAAAAAAATTTTTTTTTTAATGTTTTTGAGACTATTATTTTACTTAACATCTCTCAAGTTATAACAAATTTCAAGCAAGCAGAATTTATCCAAAAGGTAGTCGTGTGAGCTCAGACAATTATATTCCGCAATTATTTTGGAATGCTGGATGCCAATTGGTTGCATTAAACTTTCAAACCTTAGGTAGTATGATACTTACTAATGACTTTTTAGTTTTTTATTTAGTATTATTTTATAAATTGAAACAGTTATGTACTACCATTAAACTTTCAAACCTTAGGTAGTATGATACTTACTAATGACTTTTTAGTTTTTTATTTAGTATTATTTTATAAATTGAAACAGTTATGTACTACCACCAATGGTTTTTGATGTTAAATTTTTTTTAGATATTTGGTCATGTTTTAAAATTAATAAAGAACTTTTCTCAATCATGAATAGTGCACAGTGACAAACCCAGAGTTTTTTCGGAAATATTTTTTTTTCAGAATGGGGGTGTATTTTTTGTGGTAGCCCTTTCTTATCCTTCCCCTCCCAACCCCCACCCCCTCCTTTTCCTTTGAGTTTATAAAGGTGTCGCAATATGATTCTTAGAAATCCCTTTGTGTTCACGTTCTTTATTTATTTATTATTTGATTTTGTAATTATTGTGTTCACCTTTCTTTATTATCCAAAGATAAGGAGTTGATTTAAAGTAGTATCATTTTATTAAAGATAAGGATAATTTTTAATTTAAAGTATCATTTTATAAAAACATTTTATAAAAGGCATTCCTTTAAAGAGATAATTTATTGGTGGGTGTAATTTTGTTATGCTAAAAAAATGCTATTTTAATATCTTTACAAATTTTGCAAATACTAGACTATTAGTAAATATTTATTCAAAATTGTTAAAAGTATTTTTAACATTAATTAACTATATTTTAGTTATTTTAATTTTAGACAAAACTACAATAAAGTAAAATAAATAAAATAGTTTAAACAAATTTTAGCTAATAATTGCAAATAGCATAGTATTTGCAAAATTAAAATAACTTTACTCTATGGAATGCTTACATTTTGTTTGTCTATTTTTAGTCTTGTAGTCGAATAGTTATTGTCTATATAATGTATTATATAAAAACAATAGTTATTGTCTATATATAATATAATATATTATATAGACAATTTGCAATGCAAAATAATAAAGTTTAAAGTATTTACTATTATTTTATGTTTTATTTTGATTTGAATATTAGCAATTCTGTTTATTTAACTTTTCCAAATCGTTAATAATTTTTACATGTGCTTTAAGGCACCTTTTAAATAAAAGAGATAATTATGATAAACTAATATACATTTACTAAGGATTAAAAATTAAAGTTTAAAATTACTTAATTGTTAATAAAACATATAATAAAAAAACTTAATAAAACTAAAGGCTATTGTAATCATTGTTTTTTATTATTAATATTAAAGTTGAAAAAATATGAAGAGAAACAAAATTATCTGAAAAAGTTTTTTTTCATTTTTTGTTTTCCCTAAAGTAAAAAAAAAAAGCAAAAGAAGACAAAATTACAAATAGTAAATAATTTTGGGGCCTCCATACAGCTTAAGCAGTATCAAAATAGGTCCAGGTTCGTTGCTGGTGTATGGCAGCGCAAGCAATTAACTCACCAGTTCCTACAATCCTCCTAATTAACTCAAAATTGTAAAAAAGGGTTCTTTATGTAGCCTTGACAATGCACACAAAAATTACAAATAGTAAATAATTTAAAAAAGCATTGACAAAAATACTATCTATGCTAGATATATACTATGTATACTCTGATATTATACAGCTATCCGTGGATTCAACCTAAAATCTAACACTAGGTTCAAAATTACTGTTGTTGATGTTCGTATCATACAATTACTAGAAACATGATTTTAAATTTTGATAATTTTTTTTTTTTTCTTTTATCTAGGTTAGAGTAATTTTTCAGAAAAAATGGATATTAGTTCTCAAAGATATAACTAAAGCATCAGTAAATTAAAAAAAATTTTTTTAAAACTGATTAGATCTTATTTTTGTGCCAATTTTTAATATACTCATACATTATGTAGAAACATACTATTAAATATTTGACTTTATATTTATATATTATTAAATTGATGTATATTAGTTACTTTAAAACATTACTTTTAAACAATATTAATGAATAGCTAGCAAATATTTATTTTTATAATATACATTTACATTAACGATCTTCCAGGTATTCTCACATCTAAGGTGGCATTGTTCGCTGATGATACTACCATTTATTCTTGTCACAATAAGAAGCCAACTCCCTCTGATTGCTTGCAAGGGGCATCTGAGCTTGAAAAGAATCTCACTTCTGCTACAGCATGGGGCTCACGGTGGCTGGTGAACTTTAATTCAGATAAAACTCGATTTTTTTCAGCCAATCGTTATCGCAATAATTTAGACCTTCCTATATTTATGAACGGTAATGTACTCGATGAGTCTCCTACCCTTCATCTTCTAGGATTAACTCTTACTTCTGATCTTTCTTGGAAACCTTATATCAAATCCGTTGCAATATTAGCATCTGCTAAAGTTGCTTCTCTTTATCGAGCTCGTCACTTTCTTACTCTGGATTCTATTCTCTATCTCTATAAATCTCAAATCCGGCCTTGTATGGAATACTGTTGCCATATCTGGGGTGGATCTTCTAATGATGCCCTTTCTCTTTTAGACAAGGAGCAAAAATGCATTGTAGACATAGTTGGACCTACTCATGCAGCCAACCTTCAACCTCTGTCACATCGTCGTAATGTTGCTTCTCTTTCTCTTTTTTACGAATACTATAATGGGCACTGCTCGAAAGAGCTAGCGTCTCTTGTACCATCTACAAAAATTCATTCTCGTGTTACTCGTCATTCAATTAAGTCTCATCCTTTTTCTGGTACTGTTCCTAAGTGCTCCAACAACTCTTATTCGTCTAGTTTTTTTCCTCGAACATCAGTTTTTTGGAATTCGCTTCCTTCATCTTGCTTTCCTGATTCATATAATTTGCAATCTTTTAAGTCGTCTGTCAATCGTTATCTTGCTCTACAATCTTCATCTTTTCCCTTCCAGTAACTTCCAACACTAATTAGTGGTTGCTTGCAGCCTTGTTGGAAGCGAAGATAATTAAAAAATAAAATAAAAATAAAAATCTTTAGGCTGCAGTTATTAATTTAAAAATCTATATTGTAATGTAAATCTATATTGTAAAATAAAATCTATATGCAGTTATTAATTTAAAAATCTATAAAATTTATAAAATATATATAGTTGTAAATAAAAATCTTTAGGCTGCAGTTAATTATTTAAAAATCTAATTTATTTTGGTTTTTAATTATTTTAAAATCTTAGTAGTTTAAAGTCATTTCAGTGTGCTAAGAATAATTTTTTTTTTAATTTTTAAAGATATGCATGATATAATTTTGAAGCCCTTCAAGAGTACTAGTATTGACAAATGTGAGGGTATTGAACCCTCACAAGAGTCAATACTAAATCCATTTCCTGACAAGAATCTGGTATGATACTATGTAATTCACAAACTAATTCAACACCAATACATTTTTATAATCTGTTCCTTAAGTAACTTTGAAGATTAATTCCCCTCATTTTAATATCATGTGTATTTGTTTTTAGGGTACAATCTACTTTTCTGTGTGTTGTTCTATATTATGTCTAATACACTAAACAATTTTTTTTTAATTTTCTAAATATTCAACTGCTAACTTCACAGATAAACAGTTTTTTTATGTCTAACAAACTTTATATAATACACAAAACAAATAATTTTTACAGGTTGATTGCCAAACATAAACTCTCGCAATTGATGTATGTAGCATCTGTTTATCTCTATTTTAGTGTGACATTATCAATCACGTTTCATGCAGACTTAAGTACACAATAGTTGAATATTCTTTTTACAAAATTATTTTTATTTAAAATGATTTTAAATTTAGATGTTCCTATGCAGCTAAATCTTGGTAAATTTGAAATAAATGGACGCTGTGGGTAAGCTCTTTTTTTTTTTAAATTGAAATAGAGGCTATTATTTTTATTGTTTTCTCAAAAATTTTCTCAAAAATTTTGATATTTCTTCAAACATACATGTTGTGACTGTTATTCAAAAAACAGTTTTCATAAATTAACCATTAAAATTAGTGCAATAGTTTTGTTGCCTAATTTAATTTTTAAGATTTGTGATTCGAAAGGATTGCAACAATTTTAAAGTAATAATAGTAAAGCTACATAAAAGTAGTCAATGTTTTTCTTGTTATAAAGTGTTATCATCTATTTATAAAATGTTATCTTCTTGTTATAAAGTGTTATCTTGTTTTAAAATTTCAATGAAAAACAAATGAGAAAACAAGGAGTGTATAGTTAAAGTTAACTAACTGCATTTTCCAATTTATGATAAAATTAACTTATAAATTAAAGCATAAAGTTTAATTTGTATTTCATAAATAAAATTTAATTTATAAATAAATTAAATTTTATCTGAAAAGTATATTTTAGTTAATTTATAAAAATACTATATAATTTAAAATTGTATTTTTGGAGAAAATTTTTCTTTCAATTAACGTTTCGCTTTTTTTTTTAAATAACTTCGTATTCTATTTAGTTTTACTTTTATGAAAATATAGATATTTACAGTGAGAAAAAGAGAGAGAGAAGCAACATTACAACAATGTGACAATGGTTGAAAGTTGACTCCCTAGGTCAAACTATGTTTACTATGCATTATTGCATCTTGTCTAAAAGAGAAAGGCCATCATTTAAAGAACTGCTCTAGATATGACAACAGTGTTCCATAGAAGGACAGATTCCATAGAAGGACAGATTCCATAAAAGGACAGATTCCATAGAAGGACAGATAAGAGGTTTTTAGAGATAAGTATTAGAATCTGGAGTATAAAAAAAAAGGGCAAGTACGAAAAAGATATGTAACCTTAAGCAGATGCTAATTTTGCTATGGATTTAGTATAAAGTTTCCAAGAAAGATCAGTAGTAAGAGCTAATCCTAGAAGACAAAGGGCAGATGACTCATCAACTACATTATTAGATAAACAATATTATTAGCTATATTCAGTGAAAATTTCAAGAATATTGAAAGAATATTGTCCTTAAATTTCAGGACGCTATATATATATATATATATATATATATATATATATATATATATATATATATATATATCGTTTTAAAGAGATCCATAGAAAGGTTGAAAAATTAAAGCATGTTTTATTTTGAAAAATTTAACAAAAATTAGAATGTTTCTAAATTTTTAAAAATAAATAAATTTATTTTGTATGTTGTCTTACCAAGAAATTAAATTTGTGTTTCTAGGTATCTTTTAAAGCCTGAACACATGAGGCGACATGATCGTACATTTGATCCATTCGTTGAATCTACAGTAGATGGTATAATTGCTGGTACTGTTCAAGTTAGGGTAAACACATTTATTTGAATTGATTATTCTATTCTAGTTTTTTTATTTTTTTTTGTACTTATTATTTTTTTTTAATTTTTAGTATTTTTTGATATTAAAATTATTTTATATTAATAATTTGCTCATATTATTATTATTTGTTTTGTTTAAACAAATAATAACAAGACATTAGCAATTTTAGTACAAACTGTCCTATTAAAGTTAACAAAAATAGTTTAAGATAAAGGATATTTTTAGGTTATTTCTGGCCAGTGTTTATTAGAAAGAAGATCTGGAACTTATGTTGAGGTTGAAATGTATGGATTACCTGCTGATACTGTTCGAAGAAAATATCGGACCAAAGTTGTTTCAAACAATGGATTGAATCCAGTTTATGATGAAGAACCTTTTAAATTTAAGGTTTTAAATAAATATTTGTTTTTTATGATTTTTATTTAAATGTAATTCAAGAGTTTATAGAAAAGAATATTAAAAGGATTATTTTGAATAAATAAGTAATATTGTAATATAACTAAAAATATAATTATTTAAGGATATCTGTGAATATTGATTTAAGAAAAAAATATATTTTAGTGAGATAGCATACTAAGCAAGAAAGTTGTATGGAATGCTATCTCACTAAAAGGTGTGAATAAAATCTACATGTGAAATAAGTATCAACTAAAAAATGTACCTCAATAAGTGTATAATCAAGCAACTGGTTCTTTTCATTAACATTACAACAATGATAAATTTGTACTTTCACTTTATTGAGCCTCATTATGCTGTACTAAATCTCTCAAGGATTGGTTACAAGCACAAAGGATATTTGGGGATGAATCCAGCAAACATGCCAGAAGGAGAAGATTTTTATGGAGCTCTTAAACAAAAAGTGTGTATGGATGACTGGATCACTGATAATGTTTATCAACTAAATAACTGGTATTAGTTAAGTTAGATTACATCTTTACATCTTAACACTAATTACATTCCACTGACAACAAACAAAAGACTTGATAAAGTATGCTATTATTGATTTAAATGATTTTTATTGTCAAGCACTTATAGTTTTTATAATTTTTTTCCTAAAAAAAAATTTTTTTTGAAATGAGCTTGTATTTAATTACCAGCCTATTTTGATTTAACATTCATTAACATTAATTACAACATTAATTGCAAATATAAGTTGTAATACTCAATGAAAATTAATAGTTAGTCAAAATGGAAAGTATTGTAAATAATGGTGAGTAAAAATATTTTTTTAATAATTTGTTAAATTTATTTCAAATATTTTTAATAGGTAATTTTACCTCATCTTGCTGAATTGCGAATATCAGTGTATGAAGAAAATGGAAAAATGATTGGTCACAGAGTATTACCTGTGGATGGTTTGTCACCAGGTTTGAATATAATATGATTTTAATTTGTTTTTAAAAGTTTTTTAAACACACACACATATATGGTTACAATTTCTTAATCTTTTTTGAGCACTTCAAATCTAATAATGAAATTTGAAATATACGTCTCAGACGAACAACATAAACATATACATATAAGTTTTTTAATAATTGGTTTAACGTTTAATATATAATTGCATTATGAAAATTATTATAGAAGAGTACATACCAGTAATAAGAACCTTGGTTTTTTTTAGCTTTAGTTCAATCATGTTACAATAAAGGACAAAAAATAAAAATGATTAAATTATATTTTGGAGCACTGCTCGATACAAGTTGATTTCTTCTATACTTTTGTTCTAAATAAATCTTTCCTGTAAGTAAAAAATAACTTATCTTTGATTGTTCTAATACTGAACATTGTTGTTGCCATAATCTGTTTACACTTGAGTATGACCTGCCCATTCATTGAACCAATTATTTATCCTTGTACCACCAATAACCCTTTTACCACCCTCAATCAATCTTTTGCCAGTTCTTTTGACTCCTGGTGTCAAACGCATTTAAACAAGTAAAACAGCTTCTCTCCAACAAACAATACAGAAAAAAATGTTGTCTTTGGAACAGGTTTTGGAATAGCAAGAAAGCTTGTCCAAAAAATGCAACTTCAAGTTTTTAAAGTCAATGAAAGCGAAGACATCAGAAAGTGGTTAGTCAACTTTGCCATATTATGCTTCATAACCAGTGGGCTGATGCAACAAAACTATTAGGATTTCCTCTATATTGGATGGTAGTGCTCTAGTGTATTACAAGACACAGCTCCAATATCATTATGATAATGTAAACATAGCATAGAATCAGAAAATGTAACAGTTTTTATACATAACAGTGATATATAACAGGTTTATCAAGGAATACTAACTTTAATTGTAGTAGTAGTGTAATGGTAAAGCCCTTGCTAGTTTTCAGTTCAATCTCTACCACACCCAGACGTCATATTATGAGCAGGCTTTTCCATCCATAAAGAAATTAGTACCTAAAATTTTTTTTTCACCTTGAAATAATTCTTTTCCATATAAACAATTCTCTAAAGATAAACTGAAACACATTCTTCAATTTGAAACTGAAACCACATAATGTCATCAGGTTTTATGCAGTATTTGCAATGGCAACAGAATGTTTAAACATATGATAATAGTTTTTTAAATTCTAGCACATCTGATAGTTCTAAATTATGATGATTATTAAGTGGTGCAAAAATGTCTAGATAAAACTAAAAGGAGTCTGCATGTTTCCACAATAGCAAAGATATACTCAAATAAACAGAAAGATAAAAGGCAACCCATAAGTAGAATGATATTGAGACTGGTTCTTAATATAAACAAATCATAGAAGATTATGCTTTCTATTATTTTATCAGTTGTGATGCTTCTACCAACATTTATTACAGGACTATATATCGGGGAAGTGTATGAATGTACCAAAGTACAGTTTTCTATTAGACCTTTTCATTTTGCTTTTTTTTTTTCTTGTTTTACTTTTATTTTTAACTTAAAACTATGAGTGCTATAAATATTCAGAAAACACTTGCAGACCTGGAGTAGTCAATTTTGGTTATACAGAGTTAAAAAAAAAAATGAAAAAACATTGATTGTCAAGCTTTAATTATTGATGGAGTTGTGGACTACAACTTCATGCACCATTTAAAATCATACCTGATAATCTAAAATTTCAGTCTTTTTACAAGGGTAGGTTATTAATATTTATTAGATATTTTTATTAATGGGTCCACTCCCACAGTAATACCCCTAGTAGACTAGTAATTTGACATCCCATAGCAGTTCTTATAGTTTTTATAAGCGTTCTTATTATACACCTAGGCAGTGTTCTACAAGCATGTGGAGGGAGTCAAGTTATAAAAGCAATCAGATGAGTGATTGAGAAATCAATTGACAGACATAGTGGATCTGAGAAGAACAACATAGACAAATGATAGTCATATAATTTATAATATATAACACTAATAGTCATATACATATAAATTTAGTTAAAATTAGTTTAATGTTTAATATATTATTGTATTATGAGAGTTATTTAAAATACATATGATCTGCTGCAGAATGCAAAATGTCAAATTAAAAAAAAAAAGCCTAATATGTCCATTTTTTTTTTAAATATTTAAGTTTTTTTAATTCATAAAATAGACACTAATTTTTAAGTAAAAGAAAAAAAGAAGAATTTAAGCAAAAAATTATTATATTACTTATTTTTAACCCATCATACTTTTATTTTTTTAATAAGAAATGTCTGGGTTTTTTTTCAGTTCTTAAAATGGACACTTTAATTTTTCAGAAATAGAAAAAAACAGTAGTTTTTAAAAAGATATTTTTTTGCCATAATTTTACTATGGCAAAAATTCTTTATATTAATATACACACACAGACATAATTTTATTATACTTATCTACCTACCAAAAAATCAATTTTCTGTCATAATAAAAGTCCTTCATATATACGCACACGTTTTCTTTTATACAGGGTGTCTGCCAGTTCAGGGAAATCAGGGAAAAGTCAGGGACTTCACATGTCTGCATGTCTGGGGAAAATCAGGGAAATTAGTTTAAATTTTAAAATATCAGTGAGAAATCAAGGAAAATGACTCTTTATCAAACTTATGTGATTTGTGTAGGTTCTATTCATACACGTAATATAAAATTTTATTTGGTAGATAATTTTATTAACTTTTCTTGATTTGTATGTATATTCTATTATTATTTATATTTTTTTACAATTGAAAAGCTTTTTTCTAGATAAATCTAACTCTGTTTTTTCTGAATTTGGCTAACTAGGGAAATCTATCTTAAAATACCAACAGACACCCTGTTCTTCATCTCAAAAATCAGTTTAAAAGTTAAGCTAAACCCACACCTTTTGACTTACAATTAAATCAGCTGAAACAAAAATTTTAAAAAGAAATACACTGACAAATAACTAAAAAAAATACACTGACAAATATTTCAGATTATTTGAGCCTGAAATATAATAAAAGTTAAGTTTTGTAATTATCTCTGAAAAAAATAGTATTTTTACTAATTTTAATCTCATTCATACATATTGTTTTTTTCTCTTTATTTCTGTTTAATCAAGTTTATGTTTGCTTTTTGAAAATTAGGTTATCGCCATATTAAGTTGAGAAATGAATCTTATCAACCATTGTGTCTTCCAACATTATTTGTTGATATTGTTACCAAAGACTACGTGCCTGAAAGTTTTTCAGGTTAAAATTAATTTAATATATAGTGATGAATAGTATTTTCAAAATTATTTATTAATGTTAAAAATTTAATTTTAAATTTGCTTTAATTCAGATTTTGCTGATGCTCTATCAAATCCAATGAAATATTTGTCAGAGAAAGAGAAGCGTACTCAACAGTTAGAAGCATTTGAATTTGAAGAATCTGATTCAACAGTACTAACAGATATATTATTATTATATACGCATTTCTTTTTATAATATTTCTTTCTGTGTTTTTTTATTTCCAATAAAAATCAACTTACATAATTTTAATTGATTATCTTGAACTAATATTATATAATATAATATTAATATAGTAATTAGTATTTTTTCTGCATAATATAAATTTAGGTTGCCACAAGTACTCCAGAGTTTTTAGCACCAGAGCTCCAAAATATATCAGCAATAAAAAGAGGAAGTATAGTTTCATTGCAAACTATCATTAATCAAGATAAAAGAGATAAGCGTGATCCTGGTAAAATAGGTAATAACAAGACCAGAATCAATTTTTTATACACACATACACACACACACACACAGATATATATATATATATATATATATATATATATATATATATATATATATATATATATATATATATATATATATATATATATATATATATACACAGAGTGGAAAAAAATGTCCGGTCAACAGTCAATGACTGCCTGAAATGACTAAAAAATGCAATTTTGACCTCCTAAAATAAATTCATAATTGACTGGTTGAAAAAAATCGGAGATTTAAAACAAATAACATCCTAATTTTGAAAAAAAATCAGGATGTTATTTGGAAAATGCATATAAAATTTTATGAAACTATTTGAATTTTAAAAAAGGGTTTTAAATAGTTTTCTTCTTTATGATATGCTACTTTTATTGCTAGTGGGTTATTAAAGCAAAAAATGTTAAAATAAAAATATCTTTTTGTTTAACAACCTTGAACTCATTAATTCTTTTGTTGACGAATGTATTGCTCATGACATATTTAACATATACGTAACGATGTAAGCTATAATCATTGTAATCATAAGTCTTTTGTTTCTTAGCAAAAATTCTTTTTTTTAAATAATTGAAGTTCTTATTTTATTAATATTTTGAACAGTTTTTATTTCATTACTCTGCACTTAATTTATTATTTAGGTATTTTTTCTCCAAGTCTTATTTATTTTCTCATAAGTTTTGCAGCAAATTGCAATTAAATGATGAATGGTTTATAGATAAATTAAAAAGTTTGCGAAGTTATTGCAATGAAATGAATTACTTTTAAATAAATTGAAAAATATCAATTGCTTGTTTGCGTTTAAAAAAAAAAGCATTGTTTTTATTTAAAATTGCTATTATTAAAACAATTTTTTATTCTTTATTTTTTATTCTTTTTTTAAAAAAAAGTGGAAAAGTTACAGGTTTCTTTTAGCAAACTTTAACTATTAGAATAATTTTTTAACAAAATCGATTTTATATATTTTAATATACTTAAAAGTATTAAAATTAATAATATAAAATTGTTGATAAAATATTTATTTATTAGTTTAAATTTTTTGAAAATTTTAAAAAACAACATTTAAAAAAAAAAAGAAAAAAACCAGGCTATATTATATTATAAAAAAACAAAATTCGCTTTACCATCTTTAAGCTTTAAAAACCCAACGCACAGTGACTCAAAACAACAACAAAATGGCAATAAACCCCTCACCATTTTTTTATAAATTAAGTGCCCTTTGTTAGATAATATTAAAAGACAATGATTTTTTATTTCAAAAGTAAAAATAATTTTTTCATAAAGCTTTTATTTTGTATTTTATAGGTAAAAGAAGTGAAAAAATTTGATATTATTTTTAAAGAAATCTGAAAAATGTGAGGTTTTTATTCAACTAAATTTGAGAATTTGAAATTTAAATAAAAGTGTATATTTATTTTTAAAATGATATTTTGACTCTATATATTTCAAATATACTAAAAAGAAAAAAAAAAGTCTGATTTTTTCGTTTCAATTTAAAGACTTCTCTAAAAAAAAGTAGAAAATAATCGTATTTTTTTTGTTTATATATCAGCTAAAAAAATGTTCCACCGAGTTCCAAAAATATATATATATTTTCCAGTTAATTAGCATTTCTACTTTAGGAATGTAAAAGGATTACTGCGGTCTCCTGCGGTATTGGAAGTTATTAAAGAAAAACAAATGTTGATGATTTTATAAAAACCTTGTTTTCTGCCATTTTGCTAAGAACTTTATTATATCAAAACAAATGAAATTGGCGGGAAACTTAAAGTTAAGTTTCTTGCTTGTAGAACTTGTTCTAATATAGTTTTTAAATCATAAATATTAAATATAGTTTTTAAAAAAGTGCTTTTGTCATTATATACTATTTAAAAATTTGTTAAAATATTTATTGACAATTTTAAAGAACGATTTATTATTCGATAAGTACAACATGTTTGAAAAAGCTTAATTGAACAACTTTGGTATTTCCCGATTCAAGAAATACCAAATTGTTACATCCTGTAATAACACATATTACTTAGTTAACTTTATATTACATGTAATATAAAGTTAACTAAGTAATATGTGTTATTACAGGATGTAACAATGTGAAAATTGTTAAAAGTCATAACAAGATAAAATTTGAAACAGTGTAAAGTAAAAAAATATGTTATGTAATTTAAAATGTGTCTAATATATTAGTTTTATTATATTGATGGTTCTTAAAAACGATAACAATGAAAAGATTAGATCTTATCCAAAATATATGTGAATTAGGAGTTGATAAATTAAAATTATAGAAGGATTTACTTAATGAAATAAAAAATACTGAAAAAATTCGCAAAGAAAACTTAAATAAAGTTAAGCTTGCTTTAGTTATATTTATTTCAAAGGTGAAGAAAAAACTAAAACAATGTGGACAAAACTATGATACATTTATACAAAAAGATATTCGTTGGCTTCAAAGAAATCGTATGAACAATAAAAATAGCCATTTTGGTTGGAGTGTTCTTGGAGAGAGAAGAAAAAGAAAAAAAATAAAAGAACTAGCCACTGAACATCATCAAGCTCTATTTTTTAGCTTCTGCAAAAAGTGCAAATGAAGAAAGAATTTTGGACATTTAATGAAAGAATTTTGGACATTTAAAAGGAAGAATTTTGACATTTAATATCAGCTATAGGATTGATCTTACAATGTTTGATAATAAAGTAGTTAGCGCACTTACAGAGACAAAATCCAATCAATCCTGCAATGTGTGCAATGCTAAACCCAAGGAAATGGACAATATTGATTTATTAAAAGCAAAAACTGAGAATGACTCGGCCTTAGGGCTCAGAATTTCAGCTTTGCATTGCTGGATAAAATGCTTGGAGTTCATTCTTCATTTGAGTTATAAAATTGAAATCAATAAGTATAAGCCAAAAACAATTGAGGAAAAACTATCTGTAGACTTAGAAAAAAAAGAGATTCAGGTACTCTTCAGAGAACGGTTAAGCCTATACGTTGATATGCCTAAAACTGGGTCTGGAAACACAAATGACGGCAACACTACCAGAAGAGTATTTAAAAATAGTGAAGTTTTTTCTGAAATTACTAAAGCTGATTGTGATATAATTACAAGATTGTATAATATTCTCATAACCATATCTTGTGGATATCCTATTAATATCAATGAATTAGATTTATACTGAACTGAAACAGCTAAACGTATAGTGAGTTTATACAACTGGTATGTTATGCCTCCTACTGTACATAAACTGCTACTGCATAGTTCTTCTATATCAAATAAATTACCTTTGCCAATCGGGGTATATTCGGAAGATGCACTAGAGAGTTTAAATAAACAGATAAGAAATTCTAGACTTAAGCACACGGCAAAAATATAAAGGTTAAACACAATGATGAATAAGATGCACTACCTTCTAGTAAGATCAGATCCAAAAATATCAAGCATATTTTTTAGAAAACATAAGAGCTATCAAGGAAAACCGTTACCAGATGAAGTTTTTAAATTAATTGTAATGTAAATAATAAATTTAATGTAAAAAAATACAGTATTTTTTCTCCATGTATCAACAACCATTTTTTTTTAAATATCAAGTAGAGTAATATATCAAAATTATGTGTTTGTCTTGAAGATTCTAAAAACTAAAAAAAAAAATTTTTTTGTACGCGTATAGTCACCTTTAACACGCGTAAGCGCAAATTTTACGCGTCGAAGCTGTGCGTTAAAAAAAAAATTATTAACAAATTTGAAATCTTTGACTTAAAAATTATTATTTTAATATATAACATTATTTATTTACGATTTATGTCAATTTTATTTAATTTTTGCCAATTTTTGATTGTCCTGAGTCACTGTGCGTCATCGGCCCTGTAGGATAGGAACAGTCATAAAGATTAATCCAAAGTAGCATCCGTTATTGATTGATTGATTGATATTTTTGCGTAGTACTACTACTCAAGCGCTAAGTTGGCGGTGAACTAGTATAAAATTAATTTAAGATTAATTCAATTTAGGTCCTTAGGTCATCCTGGAACCATAGTAAAATATGATTAATGGTTAGATTAATAATTTTGTTTAGTTAGCTCCTTACTAAATGTTTAGTAACTTGGTTATTCGATTAGCCCACTATATAATATATATATATATATATATATATATATATATATATATATATATATATATATATATATATATATATATGGACATATTTTAAAGAAAAACACGATTACATGTTATTTTTTAATCTTGACATGTTTCGTAGTTAACATACTACATTTTCAAAAGATAAAATTACAATTTAAAACTCTGGATATAAATATAAATTCAAAATTTGAAGACATTACAGAGAAATATTAACAGACAAATAGAATTGTTATAAACCAATAAAGATTATAAAACAAATTATTATAGGTAATAGCTACCTAATTATAATTATAATAGGTATAATTATTATAGGTAATACCTACCGTAATAGCATTAAAAAAAAAAAAAAACTAGATTGACAAATTTATATTATAATGAACAGTTTGTTTATTTAAAGATGGCTTTTCCCATTTAATATGGAGTACTTCTTTAATTTTTAATTTGCTTTTGTTAGGACCAGTATCCAAAATTTTAAAACAATTACAGTTACTTAAATTTTCACAATCAACAGATGAAATTAAATGCTTATAATCATTAGATTGTTTGTCACTTGTAAGATGCTCATAAATCCTTGTTGTTAAGTGTCTGGAGGTTTCTCTAATCTAACTGGCATTACATCCAGCACAAGAAAATTTGTAAACAACTTTGGATTTGAGCAGCTTAGGAAGTGGATCTTTTATGCATAAACTGTTATGTAAATTGTTGGAAGTGAAAATTAAGTTAATCATAACATCTTTTTAATACTTTTTAATGATTTTAATAACTTTAGATTTAGTAAAATTTGAGTAAAATCCTATAAATGGAAATTTATAATATCTTATATTAGATTTATCACAGATGGATTTAA